ATATATATATATATATATATATATATAATGCATACTTTTTTTTTTTGGTGTGTCTGACTCATCTTTTTAGAAAAGTTTTCCGTTGGAAGACCGATTGAAAGCACAAGAGCATGTCATCTGCCTTTGACAGTTTGAAGTATCAGCGTGCAGTTGTCAAACCTTTACATTAGACTGAGCTGAGTCAGAGTGAAATGGGACATCAGGCCAAGAGTTGGTTAATAGTGACAGGGAGGAGTGTGGGGGTGTAGAACAGGTTTAACTGGGACATGAAGGTGAACCAATAGTGGCAGGGAGAACATGGAGTCTAGACGTTGGACAAAAAGCAGGCGCCAGTATGGCTAACCACTAGTTTACGTATAGTAGCATGATATGCTCCCACATTGTTAACATGCTCCCGAGGACAGAAACGGTGTTCGAAGGCTGGATTTGCAGGTCTGAATTAGCCCTTCTGTCAAGCCTACTTATCAAAGTTGTTAGCAGTGCTGAGCCTCCTGCTCTCGACTTTCCAACACCGTGCCATCAAACCGCCAGTTTTCTATCTATGTTTCTACACTGGGAATTGCCCTCTAGCTAATGGAACAGTTGCATGCAATGGCAATTTATAATAACACTGTGGAACTCGCTGGCTCTGTGTTTTGATACGTCTCGCTGTCGCTCTCACGCACTTTCTCTCTCAGCGGATCTGCGCTGAGGCTGCAGCTGGGCAAGAGCTGAGTGTGGAGCTGGGCACCCGGCCCAAAAAACGCTCCTCCTTCACTCCCCCGGTGCCCTGAGAAACCCGTGGGGAATGTCTGCTGTCAGAGGGAATAGGCCAGGAGAAAGAAAGCAGAGCAAGAGGGGGCAAGAAAGCAGGAAGCAGCAAAGAGGGCCAAGGAGAGGAAAGGAGAGTATAGGAAGGATCACAGAGGCTCAGTGGAACATTCCTGATTATGTTTCAGCGGGACAAATCCCACCCTGTGGCCATCTAGTTATGAGAGGGCAGGACACTGGAGTAAATGAGTGTGCTTCTCTGTGTCTGGCAACTACTTTCTTAGATGGGTTAGATTTTTAGATGAATATTTGATCATTATTGTTTTCTTCCGTGCCCTTCCCTCTCTGTTTACACAGGGCTGAACTCGTAACTCCATTGCTATATATTTCACGCCCTTTATTGCTCACAAAGTATGTCAGACCTCAGGCTCCACTTGATGCTCATGCCCTCTTCCCCTTTCGTCTCACCCACCTCTCCTTATCACTCTGCTGTAAGGAAGCAGCAGGTCACTGCTGCTCAGGCCTCTTCCTATATCGTACAAGTTTTTTTGATTTAAAGGACTGGGTGACATTGACTTATTTAGGTCTTTAACTGTTAGAGTGAGAACATTTTTCATTTCCTGCCTCATTTACTTTATTATATTTCCAGACCAAGAGAAAGTAAAGAATGGAGCTCAATCAAAGGAACATTGTGAAAGAGTTTAAAGTCCACAAACTGAGCCTGCTAATATCATCAGCATTGACAATCCTCTCTGAATCATGGATTGCAGTTTATATAGCACTGCAAACAGATACATTTTCTCATTCTTTTCACGGTTCCTTCAGAATTCAGAGCCAAAGTCCTGAATCCGAGATGGATAACTATGCATCATTCATCAGCGAGGCTTTGGAAAAGACAAAATGTCGGGAGTGTGTGCCATCATGGGAGGAGATCCAGATGCTGATGAACCGACAGGAGATGCTGTGCACCGTGCACTACCCTGGCCCCGGATCCTGCCAGCTCTACATCAGCTCACACACCACAGCCAATGAGGTTTGGGACCATTTATTTATGGTCATCTTGGTCGATTTAACGCTTTATCAGGCTTTTCAGATTCTTTGTGTTTTACACAGAAAAGAAAAGCTTTAACTACCATAAACATCTTTCCAAAATCAGTCTCTTCTCTTTATTCTCCAGGTGGTCCGAAGGATGCAAGAGAGACTGGGCCTTCAAGATAGTAAAAATACATTTGCACTGTATGAGCAGAATGCACTGTGGGAGCAGCCGGTTGCAGGGAACTCTCTGATCGCTGACGTCCTGACCAGGTATAAAAACATATTCCTACTTTTTCCTTTTTAATATCAGCCAGAGCCAAAACACCTGTCACAAATTTAAGCTTTTTGTGACATTAGAACAGCATTATAGGTACTTTCTTTTTTCCCATCTCTTCTAGGATACTTAACAAGTTTGGACATTGTGGCATATAGTCAGTTTAAAATGAAATGCCACATCCAAAACCAGAACAGAAAGGATGTTTTAGGTTCTGGTTGGCCAAGCCTAACGGCCTGCTTTGAAGGCAGGCCTTTGTAGATGCTTGTGTATATATATATATTATATTATACATTGGTCAAATTTAGTCAGAATAAATTAAACATGAGTTTTATGTTAAATAAGATAAAGACTGATTTAACAAATTAAAACCCTTCTTTCCATTTGTAGCTTCACCACCAAAGAGTCGGAGTCTAAATCCCAGTGGAAAATATGTTTTAAGCTCTACTGCCTGCTGGATGCTGACAGCATATCGGAGGACAGCATAGAATATTTATTCCTCTTTGAGCAGGTAATGCAGAAAAAAAAATGTTTTCTCTTTCTACTTTGGCTTTAATAAGTGACCTATAATGGGATCACATTTTTTTCCCTGCAGCAAGTCCTTCTTTCTTTTCTAAATAAAGTTATGGAACAAGCTTGACTCACAGCCATTTGACACAATGCGATTGTTGAAGAGAATGCAGAAAACATAAAAAGTATGACTAATAGTGTTGGTTCAGTTGAAGCAGGGTCAAAAGGTCGTGTCATTACAGGATTTTTCCTGAGGACTTCTATAAAAGATTTATATAGAGCAATAAAACAGGGTGGGCCAGATGCGATTGGATTCAGGTTATTGGGAACAGCCGTGACCTTTTGTCTCTCCTGGTCTTTGTGCTGCAGTGCCATGAGATGGTGGTGCGTGGACAGCTTCCAGCCTGTGAGGAGGACCTGCTGGCACTGGCAGCCCTCAGGCTTCAGAGCCTCATGGGTGACTTCAGCACACATGTCCCCTTCCCACCTTTGGACGAACTATTCCCTGGTCACATGCTTGAAACACGCGTCCTCATGTCTCTGTCGGCCCCACAAGCGGCACCCCCCTGCCAGGTGGCGGCTCAGGAGTGTCCTGTGACGCAGCGGTTCCCGGCAGGCCTCCTGGCCGGGACGCTGTGGAGCCACTCGGCTACTGTCGCACATAAACAAAAGATGGAGAACGATAAGTTTCTGCGCAGTCGGCTGAAGGAGGAAGCAGCGGTTGTAACGACAGCCATCTTGGAACGTTGGAAAGGTCTAGCTGGCTACAGTAGCAGGGACAGTATGGCTGCCTACCTCACAATTGCACGCCAGTGGTCAGGCTTTGGATGCACTCTTTATGAGGTGGACTTCTACATTGTGAGTATTTGGATGGGGCGGTGCTTTAGCTTGAGCTTACCTGGAGCTTTCTCTCATCTTTTCTCTCTTTCTGCTTGCAGAGTTCAACAGGGAATGTTTCCCAGAAGTTGTGGTTGGGTGTAGCTGCTACATCTGTGTCCATCTACAAACAGGGAGAATCAGAGGCCTTGGAGTCTTTCCCTTATGGCCAGATCTGCTCTTACGGCGTGTCTGACAGCAACACCTTCAAGATCACAGCTGGAGATCGGGATCTCATATTTGAAACCAGCAAGGTAAGGAGGCTCACACATCCCAGATCTGCAAAATCTCAAGCCATCTTCATTAGATTAGATTAGATTAGATTAGATTCAACTTTATTGTCATTACACATGTACAGGTACAAGGCAACGAAATGCAGTTTAGGTCTAACCAGAAGTGCAATAGCAGCAAGTGCAGGAAAAATAATAGTTCCAAAAATACAGGACATGGGTTTTCTACTGAATGAGTATAGAGATGAATACTTATTATAAATAATGAATATAATATATAGATCACTAGTGTTATGAACTAAATTTACAGCTGGATATGTACCAAATATAATATACAGGTGGATATTACTATAGAAAAAGGTTTTTACACTTATGTACAATAGCATAATATACAGGTCAGGTAGTGCTTGCAGAGACGAATAGCCTTATCAGGACGCTGTGTCCTGCAGCACAGGAGAAGTGTTGAACACTGGCCTCTCACCATACCCCCCTGATTCCTTTCAGCTATTTGCTATACCTAAAAAGAAAAAAAGTTAATTTAGTCTGAATGGAGAGCACACAACCTGTCGCCTCTTTCAAACCAGTTGCGACCACCACAAGTCAAACTTCCTGGTATTAAATGGCGTGGAGTTGAATTTTATTGCTGTGGTTAAATTAAAATATTAGGCTGAACATTTCTCAGAAATTTAGATGCTCTTCCAGACAGACACTCCCTTCCCCCTGTTGAGAACAAATCTTGCCTTTCACTGGACCGACTTCCTTGCATCTTCCCACAGGGAACAAAAAATCCCTCTGTGATCTCCAGTGAGGCACAAGAGTGGCTTTTATTTATTTATTGGGCTCACAGGCAAATTGAAGTGCAGCCCAGTAAGACTTCTTCTTGTGTGAGCTGAAGTCCTTATAGTGGTCTGACATTAGTAGGAAGGGCTCTGAACCTCTGGGCAGAGAAAGATTTGATTATCAGTGCAGCTTTAGCGACTGAATAAAAGGATTATTGTTATTTTATGAGCAGGTGACTGTTTAACTTAGAGCTGTTCTTTTGAGGGAAGAATTAGAAGAAAAAGTGTCCTGAAGTTTATTCCGGTCAGGTAAACAGAGGGTCAAATATAATTCTATGTTTTCTCTTATGATTCATGAACAATTTAGTACTTTGGAAAAGCACTGATACTCCTCAAAGTTATCCACATTTTATCATGTTACAAAGACAAACTTATATGGTGTGGAAATGTGAAAGTATATATTTTTTTTATTTTGTCAATAAAAAAAACAAAATTGTAGCATACATTTCAGTTTATCCCCCATAGTTAATACTTCCTAGAACCAACTAGCCTCTTTATTACTGTATTCCTTCCCTGTTTACTATACTTGCTATATGTTGTTCTATTACAGACATACTTAAAGAGGTATTACGGATTTTTCTAATGGTATGCTGTTGAATATTCCAGTCAACAAGTTTATAGTCCTTCCAAAAAAAGTAAAAAAAAAAAAACAATCCACTGGACTTCGTTTCCAAGTTTGAAGATGTTTCGCTTCCCATCCAGGAATCTTTTTTAATTCAAAATGTCAGGAGTCATAGTGTTGAGTTTGAGGATTTATATAGTAGCCCAACAAAGCCTTGTTTTTGTTAAGAAAACATGCAAATTGAAACGGGTCCACCCCTTCGGAATGGGGGTCGAATGGCTTTTTTTGTTAGCCTTCAATGCCCCATACCTTTTCTAATGATACTGCCACCTGTGACCAAATTGCAGCACTCTTTTGCTTGTTTCTCGTAGCTCTCACTCATACTTGACAAGATTTCTTTTTTCTTTTTCACCTTACCTGGGGTCACCATTGGTGTCAGAGTTGAGATGGATGCCGGTCGGTTCTGAATATTCACAAAATCCATCTCAAATATAATGCTTCGATTGTTTGATAGCTCCGATCCATTTAAAACGGACGCGCTTGATGATGCAACATCCGCATAACAGCGCTGGAATTCCTGCACCGAAATAAATTCAGGAAAATAGGCTACATGCTTTTTTAGATGCATTGGTCTTGAACTGCTGAGGTGTCAGTCTGCTCTTCAAAATTAGTTTTTTTTGTTATAAAAGGTCAAATAAAAATGTTATTGTGAAGATAATTTTCAGTAAAAACTTGCATAAGGTTTGCGATTGTAACTTGGCAAAATGCAGAGAAATGAAAGGGTGGTGACTGCTTTTGAAAAGTTCAAACTGACTATATTCACACAATGTTCCTATAAAGGGGTGTGAACTAGATGTCCTCAATAATTGCCAAATATTTGCATCATCTGCTTCTGGATGACATAATCTTCCTCCACCCTCATGTGACGGTGCCAGACGGATGCCGAGACTGCCACAAGTTTGACCCTTCTCTCTCTCTCTCTCTGTTTTCACCACAGCTGACTGAGATCATGCAGCTGATGAACGCCTATTTCAGTGCCATACATCGCCAGCGAGGTAAAGGGGAAGACCCAGACACCATTACCTTCAGAGAAAGCACAGACGTGGGTTTCCGTCATATGGCCTCCACACCCACACTTCTGGAGCTGCCGTCTCACCCTGTTTAATAGCAACTCTTAGCCTACCATCACCATTCTTCTTCCCCGAAGATTCTTGGCCTTCTCAATTGGGAATGAAGCTGCAGCCAATACAACAGAGCTGTTTCCTCCCCATCTAGGAAAATAAACCTTCCCAGAGTATTGCAGTTAAAGAAACCCATCTTAGAATGACAAGCTTCGGACAGTGCAAGGAAAGGCAAGGGGCCCGAGAGTACACAGAGAACCAGCGCTGTTACTGATGAGGTGTCGTTCACACCCTCAACCCCTCCCCACCCTCCATCTTTGTTACACTAGATGGCAATAAACCCAACTTCACCGCACCCTCAGCGAGATGTTTCGTACTACCACCTCAGACATTAAGACTTGCAGCAATCATAAGAACCTCTTAAAGCTCCAGCTCTGAAGCAAAAACACCTTCTCCCCTAGTTTCTCTCTCCGTCTTTTCCTAGAAGGCAGACGTCCCTTTTGCACTGCTGGAATACTATTTGGAACATTCACTGACACACACACCCTGACTCTCCCTGGCTCCTTCATCGGTTTTCTTAAGATCCCAACTGAGCTTCAATTACCTGAAGTGTTGATACAGGCGAGGCCATGTGAACTTGGAACTGGAAGCAGATGTTGGAGCTCTGTGGCTAATTTTACTTTAGCTGCCATGACTGCCTGCCAGGGTGTCAGTCTGATCACTAAAGCCATTTCATTGATGATGCATTCAGGATCCACGGCTGTGTGCGTTAAAAAGAAATCAACGGATTTTCAAGTTTTTAAGCACGTTGCCACCATATGTTCTGACTCCTCTCTCCTTGTGGTGCTGCTTTTCTCGACTGTGGTCCTGGACCTTTAACTCGGTGAAGACTTAACACCTGACCCGATACAGCACTGTTCTGCTGAAGAGAACGGGTGCTACTTTATTTAATGGAAGGAACGCCACAAAGCTACGTCATAGACAGCATTCTGTGCCCCACAGGTCGCCAGCCTTCGAGAAAAAAAAAGTTCTAATTCAGAAGCTTTTGTATTATTTATGCAGACTTTCAAAAACAAAAACTGTCCGTCTTAAATGTAGACCCAGACTTATCTTTAAGTTTGCTCTCAGTGACCAGGGCCATAGGTTTGTTTGGTTCTGCTGTTAATTTTCTCCACCTCCTTTTCCCTTTTTTTCTAATTTTAATTTTTCTTGAAAAGCTAAACTTGGACCAAAGACTAACTTTTATTATCTTTTAGAGAAAAAGCCAACAAACAGAAACCGAATCTAATCATACTTGGACATCCTCATGCCTTCCAAGATGAATATTCAAGAGTCAATTGTATATTTTTTTTGTAAGGATAATCCTAAAGTGATATCTGCTACACACTAGAAAATAACCATTTTGAACACTTTCTTTCTATGCCATGAAAAGCCTTGACAAGTCATTGCCCTGTTTCTGATGCAGAAGCAGGTCTTTAGCTTTTTCCACTGCAGCTGCAGGCAGCTCCATGCAAGGTTTATGTAAAGAAAAAAAAAGGCAAATGTCATTGTTTAGTATTAAGCTAGACTGTAAGCTGCATGGTACCTTTTTATGTAATGTGTATATTTAATTGCACTATTTTTAACTAACTTGGGAGTGCAATAAAAACTATAAATACTGTAATTAATAAAACAAATACCCATTTTACTGTATTGTCAGTGTTCCTTAAGTTCTTAATTCCTCATTTCTCTGCAGCCAGGTATGTTTTAATGATTAATTCGGATGAAAAGTGATGTCTGCAACCAGTAATCATCTTAAAAAAGCAGGTTGAGTCTTGGTTTAGAACTCTACAGATACAGATTTAAAAAAAAAAATGATCCAAGCAGGTTATCTTCATAAAGCAGATAGGTTAGGACAGTATTTTTCAACCCTGGTCCTCAAGGCACACTGCCCTGCATGTTTTAGACGTTTCCCAGCTTTCACACACCTGTTATCAATTGATAGAAGATTATCAGGCTTTGCTGAACTGCAATCATCTGAATCAGGTGTGCTGAAGCTCAGAAACATCCAAAAGATGCAGAGCAGTGTGCCTTGAGGACCAGGGTTGAAAAACACTGGGTTATGGTATCAGGCCAGGACAATCCAACATGTTGGATTTGCCCAACGTTCCACCAAGTCATCTAAACACAGAGCACACGGTATGATTTATCTCCAGAAGACCAGCCAAGATCAGCCCCTCTAGGTACGCTTTATTTCATTCCTGCTTAAACAAGAATTAGCCCTTACAGGTAATGAGCCTGAAAAGTATAGTGGAAGATTTTCACAAATTTTTGAAAAGACCAACTTAAAAAAAGAAAAAAAAAATGCACATGCACAACCCTGTACCCACTCCTCAGAGGGAGCACCTCTTCAAAGCGTGCAAGAGCACGTAACAGCTCATTTCTTCTTGTGCACGCTGTTTAAAAGTTGCTGTTTGCATCGCTTGTACAAGCTTACTTTCTGAAAGATTTGCAATTTTTCCACTATGTCAGACTCACCACCGGTGACTGAACATGAGTACGTGCTTACGTAAACATAACAAGATGATTAACAATTAGGTGGACAACTTATTTTGACGATCCACCTGGAAAAAGAACATCCTAAATTATTCCTCGAACTGATTACATGGTGCTCCAGGTGAGATATTGCATCATATTGTAGATGACAACAGGAAATGTACGTTCCACCCAAATAAGGATGAAGTAAAGAAGTGCAGTAATAGAAAACATTTTTATTCATCTTACAGGTCCATCAAACAGTAATAAGGAACAATACACCTCAGACTCTACAGAGAACCAGTTAGCCTTTAAAACAGAGGTACCTTTGGTACCTTTAAGTCAGAAATGTGACGTATGGCAAAACCTACATTAAATATCTTCCTTTGCAATCTGTGGGTAGTGGGCAAGAATGAAAATCCAACAAAAACTACTGAACTCTGTAGAAAAATAGATAAAAAGGCAACAGGTTGTTTAACATTGAAGGACTGGAAGCAAAAGAAATGAACATTAACTGATGCCGTCAGTGATTACTTGCAATAACTCTGGAAACTATTTGTTACAGGAACATGTAGATCACCAAGGATTCTGATTCTCCAGAAAAATGCCAGTCCAGGAAACACTTTGGTTAATGAGTTGGTATAAACATTGATCACCACCTCTTAAACTATCATTACATGCTAATAAATAAATGTCAGAACAGCAGCTATGGCCAGACACAGACCACGGTCACTGATCTTGTGTGCCCCAGGAGATGTAGTCAGGCCGTGTTGCTGCGGTGTACTCGTCCACAAGCTGCTGCACAACCTCACGGGAGTTGTCCAGCTCGTCAAAGTTTTCCTTGAAGATGTCCTCTTTTCGAAACTGTTCCAGGAATGCCTCACGCTTTCTTAGTTTGTCATACTGTCTGCACGTGCGCTCAAAGAGCTAAAACAGAGGACAAAACTAGGATTAGAACAGGGAAAGATTCACATTCCTTATCAGACTTTTTTTCTTTTTATTCTTTTCTTTACAGAAAATAACTCACTCTAATGAAGACTTAATATTTTCAGCTTTTAATGAAGCTAAAGGTGATGGTTTGCAGCAATAAACCAAAGTTTTAACCAAGTTTTCAGATTTTAAACAGCTTCAAACTTTAGTTTGTTTTGTTGTTGTATTTTTTTTATTTTTACAGCTCTAGTGGCTGGTTTTTTGGACAGTAGACTGACAGGAAAGGGGGTATGAGATAGGGGGAGAAACAGGCAGGCAAAGGACCACAGGTCGGATTCAAACCCGGGTCGGCTGCGTCGAGGACTAAGGCCATACATGGGTCGTGTGCGCTAACCACTGCGCCACCAAAGCACGCCCCAAACTTAGTTTTTTTTTAACACAGTTCCTATCAGACTGGATGAGAGGAAGAAGATTTTGAAGAAAACTTACAGAAGAGATGCTTGTGTGGTTGGCCATCATCAAGCCGCTCACTCTGTGAGCCGAGGCCAGGTACGGGGACCTCCTGGATAAAGCCACCTGGATGCTGGCTGGACCCCAGGGAATAAAATTGGCCAGTTTTCGCTCCCGGATCCTTTGAAGGCTTTTATGGACCTATAGTGCACATGTTTATCGTTTAAATATGACCATTCATCATTTCAGATAGAATTTAACTTTGCACACACACACAGTATGCCATCATACCTGTGTGGGGTCAACTTCCCCCTGGATGATGTTCAGGATAGCAATGTAGCAGTGATTTGGCTGTCTCTCTCTTCCCGTGGATACCATCACATTCTTGGGTTGCAATAACCTCCTCATCACATCCAGCACTGTGGTTTTCCTCACGCTGGCAACCTGAGACGTGGCATCATCAGTGACTGCAACCCTAACATCACATTTGCATCTCATGTTGCATATTTCAGCGAGTAAGGATCAGTAATAACTCACCGACTGGTCGGTGGTCAGGGGCGTATAACCAGTCATGAGGAAGTGGAGACGAGGAGTGGGAATTAGTGAGGCAATCAGGCCGATCAGGTCGTTGTTCATGTAGCCCGGGTAACGTAGCGTAGTTGTGCTGGCAGACATGATTGTGGAAACCTGTATGGAAAATTAGAAGCTGATAAATGTAGATCTAGATTGGCTTTAAGGATCTCAAACTTGTTGCATCTTGTCACAGTTTGCAAAGAGGTGACATATGATGGACAGGATTTAAAAGGAATCCCAAAACAATCTGGCATTATATTAATATACATCTCTGTACAGTATAGGTAATCCATAAAATGTGTGAAAAGGGGTAGTCAGAAAGCTAGACCAGAGGCAGCAGTATTTATTGCAGCTATTGTTCTAAATCTTTACTCTCAGAAAGTTTGGAATAAACAGGAATGCAAGACAAAAGGGCCTTTTCTTTCAAAGAAAACATTACACACATCTAAAACATCCCAAAAGCTTGAGATAATATGTTGTTCGAAGCAACCTCGAGAAACCTTTGGGTCCGCTTCCATTGAGGCGCGTTTGGCACAGAAACACCCCAAAAGGACACCATGCCCACAGTGAAACCTTTTTTTTTGTCAAAGCAAATCACATTATCAACAGTTTCAGAGACAGTAAATAGGTGTTAAAGGAAGTGACAAGTTCTAAAAAGCAGCTATCAAGTTTATGCTCCAACCAACCTGTTAAACCAGTTTGTGATATTTTAGTTGATGCCCAGTGGCTCTTCTGTTTCAAAATAATGTGCGATGTTCAAATACACCCTTGGAGATAAATAGATGAGCATGAAATATAAACCGACGTCTTACTCACCAGCTGATTAATCTGGGAGAAGGAGGGGTTCTGGATGTGCAGCCTGTCTGTAGCGATGCGGTTCAGAGCGGTGTTATCCAGCACAACCTGATGGACAACACAGATGGCAATTATAGGACAAACCGAAAAGAACAAGTTAAAGCACTTCTCAATCTATTGCCACACTTTTAGGAGTGAGAAAGTATTGCAGCACTGACACAGCCAAGGAATCGCTTAAGAGGCTGACAGAGAGCCGTTGTTAGGAAAGTGGAACATACATGATACGCTGCTCAACTGCAACAGGGAGACCGATTATAATGGTAGATTATATTAGCTCTCAGGCTAATTAAATCAACATTAGGTCCTTATGCAAGACCCTGGAGGAAGTAGGTATTTAAGAGGAAATGCCATTAGATCGCCAGTGCGTCTGTGTCTAATACTATTAGATATTTAGAAATCAAATTTAATAAGTTGCATTTGCAAAGCCTGAATGCTGCCAATGCAATCTGTATATTGGTTTGCAAGCAATGGAGAAGTTTCTGTTTGTCTTCCATAAAGGAACTGTGAAGATTAAAAACGGAGACAGCTGCAGGGCTGGGAGAAAAATAGAAGAATGTTGGGTTTATTCAGAAGTCAAGCTGGCCACTAATTAAGAGTGGGATGTAAAAGCTTACTGATGGCGGGTGGGCGAGCTGATCAACATCATGAACAATGTTGATTTTGTAGGGGTTTCTTTTTATTTAATCGTTTCTAAATAACTAATGCTTTGCAAAAGAACATTCTCTAAACAAATGATGGATTAAACATGTACAGATCATTATAAATGGAGCAAAAGCACCACATTTAAGCCCTCTACCAGACATTTTATACGCAGCAAAGCAACAGTGTAATAATAATAATAATAACAACTTTTCAGGAAAGAAATGCCTTGTGTGCACATTTTCTCATGAGTTTAAAGATCATAATCGACAGAGCTCTGCTCACCACGCAGTCTGCATTCTGGGTGAGCCTCTTCAGAGTGAGCAGCGAGTTGTACGGCTGAACAACCACGTCACTCATCTCATCCTGGTTTGGGAAAACAGAGTAGGTCTGTACCAGCTTCTTTGGGTACCTGCGGAGCAG